GTACTAGGAATCAAACGTAATTGCTTGCAGCAATGATCAGCTTGCTGCTGGCATTTGTCGACAACATGAATGTATTTCAAGTATTACTAAATTAGTATTTGAAACACATCTATTACGAGGTCACATGACTTGCTAATACTATCAAGTTAATAGTAAACGTGCATTTGCCATAACTCTCTGGAACGGTTTTGAAGAACAAGATCATTTTCAAGCCGAATTTTCAAAATAATTTCGAAATTAACTAAAACTTGCTTTTATTAAATGGATGTTATTTTTGTTCTTATTTTAATGACGCTGTATACTTTTGCACTAATATTATTTACTTGAAGTTTATAGCACGCCCCACGTGCTTTCCACGTATTTGTACGCACACTCAAAGAAGAAGCAATTATTCGTGTACGTATCAGGGAATGGGTCTTTAATTCACAGTCTTCTGTCTGAATACTCTCGGAATAATAAACATCCGGTTTCAGCAACCAATGGTTTATTTGCTCAGTGAATCCTCGCGATTGAATAGATCATGGAGGTAAAAACCAGTATTTTGTATCAATTTGTTTCAATTTTTACGCGAAATTCCAGCCAACATTTTCTGCCTCCTACTTGTGGCAGTATCTCCGCCAAAATCTCAAACGCTATTTTTTTGTGTGTGTGTGTGTGTGTGTGTGGGGGGGGGGGGGGGTTAATTTGGTTTGTCGACTGTAATTGCCATTATGTGTCCAGTTGAATTTTGTTCGTCTATTTCGGTATAATTCGGGGAAATTCGAAAGAATATTGAAAGTTTATTTGGCTTTGAATTAGTATCGTCAAAGAAGAAATAATATCAAAATATCAAGTTTAAGTGACTATATTGCAAATGGAATATGACAAAAATCCCAGATAACAAATCTCCCAAATCTATAGACTTTTTGAACATTACCGCTGTTTGAAAAATCAATATCGAGGTTGGGAACATGTTATCAGCGAGGTCGAGAATTGCCATGCTTTCAGAAAATATTTTCACGGCATGTGTTTCACTTCAGGTTGTCCATCTTTCATTTCCATCGTATATGAGCCGGTATATATTACCCGAGTCATATTTTGCGTTACAAATTTAAATGACTATGGTTTATTTATGGATACGTGTACTCAAATCACCCAATAGTAATACTCATTACCCATTTTTCAAGCATCGAACGAACGCGCCGGAACAGGGCGGATTTCAGGATTCTCAAGTACGCCACCAACGGCGGTAATCAGTCGAGACTTGGAAAATGATCAGTACCCAGTTTGTTGTAGTAATTGGGGTGTATCTTTCTTAATTTTACAAATCAAATATTTATTCCATACCGTATTTCACCATTTCATGGAAGGAAATTTGGAAAAAAAACTAGCACAGCGTCCCCGAGACTTTGTTGTTGGACGCTGCATCAGACGCTGATGTTGCCAGTCACTTGTACGCAGAACTTGAATAAGGCTTGTTTTTAAATAAAACTCGGAAGTTATAAACTGGCTCGATGTACACTTGAAATGTATACGGGGTCTATCTACATTAATTGAATGGAGGGGACGTTTATAACTAAAAGGAGCACCGCCTTGTAGGAATAATCAAATATTTTCTTGCATTTCTAATAACGGACTCTTTAACCGTAGTTCGTAAACCTGTGCCATGAACAAATGTTTATTTGACAATAAAAAACTGATTGTCACAATGAACTATCATTAAAAATAATGTTTATCATTTTGATTATTCTCAAATTGAATTAATTATTGAATTAAGTATTTGCGATACAACTTACAGGCTTTCAATTTTGACGTATATAATTAGTTGATTTATAATAAATGTACACAAAACTTCATAATCGGAAAATACTACGATTTGTATTTTGATGTGCGCACAGGGTAAACACCACACCACAATTCTGTTCATATGTGTATTTGAGAAACACACTTATTTTCATATGTACACTCAGAAAACGCCACAATAAATAATAAATCGCACACTACTGATGAACTTATATAACAATAGCTCACACACTATATTATCTTAGACATAACACTCATAGACGAAGACATGGAAATGAATGCTTTAACAATCTCTCTCTCTCTCTCTCTCTATATATATATATATATAATTATACGTATATTTTGAAAATATCTCGAATAACAATAAACAGTTTTACATTTCAGAGTGTCTTACAGTGACGCTATGTATGTAAAGTTTACATTAAAGTGAAAAATATACAAAAGACATATCTGCATATCTGCATATTACGAGAATACGCATAGATTACGTTGTTCTGTCTCGTTTCAATTGCAATATAACGTTTATTATAACGACAATAACAATCCAAAATAATGCAATACATTTCCAAATAACAGCTTTCCTAAAAATAGCTTTATTACATTTTTTTTACTGGGTGACCCTTTTCTTTGAATAGTTTGTGCTAGGCCCTAATAGTACATTCAATAACTTTAAACTTATTGTCTGACGCGAACCGATTGCTTAATATTTAGAATAAAATGCCCATACTCGCGGGCCCAGAAGTGCGCATGTACCAATGAAACAGCCGCAGACGAAGACGATGAGCATGATGCGATCTATTACCATGGCAACGTATTTCCAATCTTCTCTTGCCTATAAGAATGAAAGAATACAATAATAAATATCAATAAAACCGTTTTCAGAATTATAAATGCTGGAATATTATCATAACTATTAATTTTACATACCAATAAATTGATAAATTTGTCAGGACAATATAAATTAAGCAGCATGCATTGTTAGTTACGAACTCACGACGCCCACTTATAGGACTTCTCGGGATGTTGTTAAGTTCATAACTAAAACGTGCATTAAGTGTTAGTCATTCCTTTTTTGGGGGGAGGGCTGATGTGGATATTTGTGTACATGTCATAGCAGTCTGATTCACACATTTGACTAGCATTTGTGCTGTGTTCCTCTCACTATGCGCCAAATTACAATGCTAGTAATATCCATTACACATTTAGATTTATACAGTCGTCACAGTAACCGGTAACGGGATATAAAATACTCATTTCGCAAGATTCACCCTCACAACCACCCCACCACCTAGAAATCAGGCGACCTTATTCTTACGTTAACGTCATTTCCAACAAAACCAATCAAATTAACCAATCGCAATTACAAATTACTAACATCGCACCTAGGCGTTAAGGGTGAGGTATATACATTCTAAGGTTACAGAAGCCCGCTATTTTATGTGGGTCCAGATAGCAAGCACGTAGTGGAAGAAGGGATGATAAAATCACCAAAAGAGGACTAGTGGCGTCACAGAGTCAATTAAGTTCAATTTTTAACTGTAAATAAACGTTTACTTTCGAAAATATATTATACATAGTAAATAAAGTCTATTCTCAGCCAATGAAAACCGCTGACGCGACACAATTTGACGTAAAAAACGC